GATATGAACCACTGATATCAATAGCGCCTACCCTGTGCCAGGCACTGTGCTAAACATTGTCTCTTAAGTTCCTTCATTTATTTTGAAACAAAGTCCTATGAGCTGTGTCTCCTCAGTGGATGATACAGGCCTGCCTGAGCCAGGATGTGTCCCGGGTCATTCAGCCAGTAAATGGTCGAGGTACTAGATCTTAACACAAGCTTTTTCCCACCCCCTTAAATTGCTCACCAATAGGAAGAAAAAGCATAATTTAATTATGACTCGTTTTAGAGAAGGGCATTGCTGGTAATTTTCTTCCTAAAAGAAGTGTTGCTTTTATAGGGGAAAGAAAAAAAAATCCCAAATCAAAAAGCATGAGTGTTGATTTAGCAGCTGAGTCCCATGGACTGAAAAAAAAAAAAAAGGGGGGTGGGGGAGTTATTTTTTTGGACAGACACAGAACACAGTTATTTACTGTATAATTTATGCTATTGAGAGTGGCAGAGATTTATGGTTTTAGTAAAAAAAAGTGTCCTAATTGGGATTAGCTAATGAAAAAGTGGTGGAACTGGAAATGGAGAGAGTAGGAAACTGTGATTTCAGCTGAGGTGTTTCTTCTCTCATGGGATGCTAACAAAAGGGCCAGTGTCGTGCACTGGGGCAAGAATCATACTTCTAATTAGGCCTTCAGCGTTTGTGCCCACAGTTTTAGTTCTAAGTGTTCTTAGACATCCAAAGAGTCGGCTCCAGGAAACCAGTGGTATTCTTGTTCAATACGGCGAGCAATGACAATGAAATGGCAGCTTCCTAAAAAAATCTCTCTCATTTTTATTCAATGCTTGTTCAGTGGGAGGGAAATGCAAAATCAACGAGGCTCACAAGCACACAACTGTGCAACTTCTCTACTCTAGGCTGAGAATAATTTTTCTTTGAAGTCACCACTTCCTACCCTACCGTCATTCATGTATCACGTGCACAGTTTTGACATCTCCCTGTACCCCTTGTGTTACTTAATATTTTCACTTAAAATGGCTCATTTAAAAAAAATTAAAATGAAATATATTTATTTTAGAAGCTTTGTTTCATGATCATGAATGGCAAAACAGAGTCACTTGCTCTAAGAAGGACATGAGTTACAAGAAATACAATTAAATCAAAACACTGTTATCAAATTTTAACGCTAGGAAGGTGTCCAGAGGTTGTGGAGACATACTTGTACCCAACTGAGACTTCCTCTTTTGTTATATCTGAGGAGTAAAAAAAGATTTGAAAAGGGAATATATATTTTTTTACTATGTGAATCAGTTTTATCCAACAAAATGTCTACATGCCACCTAAAATCAAGTTCCCCACCAGAGCTGCATCCTCCAACCTTCGTGATCAACAGCCCACGTATCTCCATGTGCTGCTCCTATGGCCCCCTTTACTTCCCACCTTCCCCCCAATGGTACTTGAACCTTGCTCTGCACCCGTCTAATTCCTTAGTCCTAAACATTTAGAGAATTCTGTTAAGCAAACACACTTGGGATGGAGGGCAGAATGCAAAGTGAATAGTTTCTATTGTTGGTTAACACTGCTTTTCTTCATATTTGCTATTGGAACAGTTTTTTTTCTAACCAGATGTGGCACATTTCCAATAATAGTAAAGTAAATGTAATGGACAATGTCTCTTTACTACTCCTGACCTTCATACATCCAGTTCCCTCCTCCAGAGGCAGCCACTGCCAACGTGTTCTGCATGTCTTGCAGAGATATTCTGGATGTGCAAGTATACTTGTACCTGTATTCTGCATTTCCATTTTTTTAACTCTATTTTTTATGTAGTTTCATATTCGTACATATAGTACTAGTCCATTCTTTTGACTACTGAATAGAAGTACACTATGCATGTAACTAATCCCCTTTTGATGGACACTTGGATTAGTACTTTTTCTCCTACAAACAATGCTATAATATCCTTGTGTCATTCTCTTTGGCCCATGATGACCACTAAGAAATAAATGCTAGACATTACTTATTCAAATGGATGGAGTTCTAATTATAATAATTAGAGAGGGTAAACATGGTTATATTTCTTCCATGAGGATTGGCTTTCTCTTCTTTGTCCTCACCCATAATATAAACTCAT